CTCCCAGGCCCTGTAGCGCCCCGTCGCGCCCCTCCTGGGCCCCGTAGCGCCCCTCCTGGGCCCCGTCGCGCCCCTCCTGGGCCCCGTCGCGCCCCTCCCAGGCCCCGTCGTGCTCCTCCCCGGCCCCCTAGTGCCCCTCCTGGGCCCCGTCGCGCTCCTCCCAGGCCCCGTAGCGCCCCTCCTGGGCTCTGTCGCGCCCCTCCTGGGCCCCGTTGCGCCCTCCCTGGGCCCTGCAGCGCCCCTCCTGGGCCCCGTCGCATCCTGCCCGACCCTGTCGCAGCCGCCCGGCCCCGTCGCGCCTGCCCGGCCCCGTCGCAGCCGCCTGGCCCCGTCGCGCCCGCCCGGCCCCGTCGCCGCCGCCTGGCCCCGTCGCCCCTGCCTGGCCCCGTCGCAGCCGTCCGGCCCCGTCGCACCCTGCCCGGCCCCGTCGCAGCCGCCCGGCCCCGTCGCCCCCGCCTGGCCGCCGTCCCGCTCGCCCGGCCCCGTCGCACCGGCCCGGCCCTGCCGCACTCGCCCGGCCCCGTCGCCCCAGCCCGGCCCCGTCGCGCCCGCAGTTCCACCACCCTTCCCTGTCCGGCGGTTCCTTCGGGCTCTCTTACAGGTCTGCATATCCCCTCGTTCTCCAGGAACCTAGTTGGTGTCGGCTGCCTCCAGGACCTTGGCGTCACCACTACGTTCCCTGGTCACGAGCGGTATGCTGTCTGTACCGAGGCCGCCACTGGTGCCCCCCTGTCCACGTTCCCCCGGGACCCGGTGTCCGGCCTGTTCACTCTGGACATCGTGCCCCCCCCGGCTGGAGCGCCCCCGCAAGTGGCTGTGTCTACCCCGGTTGCTGCTGCCTGCTCCTGTCGCTCCCTCACTCACCCGACCCTCCTGTGGCACCACCGCCTAGGTCACCCTGCGCTCCCGCGTCTGCGTCACATGTCCCAGCATGGTCTTGTCCTTGGTCTCCCAGGTTCCCTCCCCGCGTTTCTCTCCTCCCCAGCTCCACCTTGCACGCCTTGTGTCGAGGGTCGGCTTCGCCGTGCCCCTCACTCCTCCTCGTTCCCCCCTACCGCCGCGCCGCTGCAGACCCTGCACCTGGACGTCTGGGGCCCCGCCCCCGTCCCTGGGCCGCGTCGCGAGCGCTACTTCCTTGTGCTTGTCGACGACTTCACTCGTTACACCACAGTCTTTCCCTTGGAGCGCAAGGCCGACGTGCCTAACGCCCTCATCCCCTGGCTTGTCTCTGCGCGTGTCCACCGCGGTCTCCCTGTCTTGCGTCTTCACTCAGACCGTGGTGGCGAGTTTGCTTCAGGTGTCCTTGGTCGCTTTTGTCGTGCGGAGGGCATCACCCAGACGTTCACCCTACCGGACTCCCCACAACAGAATGGGGTCGCCAAGCGACGCATCGGTTTGGTCATGGAGGTCGCTCGCACCTCCATGGTCCATGCCGGTGCACCCCATTTTCTGTGGCCGTTCGCAGTGCGCTACGCTTCTCACCAGCTTAACCTGTGGCCGCACCCTCAGCAGCTGCAGGTTTCGCCGACCCGTCTGTGGACTGGGTCTCCTGGTGACGCGTCTGCGTTCCACGTCTGGGGCTGCCTTGCTCACGTCCGTGCCTCCGGCACGGACAAGCTCACTGCCCGCACCCTTCCCTGCGTCTTCCTCGGTTTTCCCCTAGACACGTCCGACTGGCACTTTTACCACCCGCCGTCTCACCGCTTCTTTCACTCTCGTGACGTCACCTTTGACGAGTCCGTCTCCTACTACCGCCGCTTCCCCCACCGTGGTCCCCCGGTTACTCCCCCCCTGTTCCTGGTCCCTCCTTCCCCGGTAGTCCCTGCCCCTCCTCCTCCTCCTCCCCGTCCCGCCCCCTCTGGTGTGTCCCACGTCACCCCCCTTCCGTCGGTGGACCCGGTTGAGGAGTCTTCTGACTCTGGTGGCCCTCCTGTGCAGTCCTCGTCAGCCGCCCCTCCCCTGGTGTCCCCTCCCCAGTCCCCTCCTCCACCGCTTCTGCCGCCGCTGCAGCCGTCGTTGCCGCCGCCGCCGCCGCCGCCGCCGCTGCCGTCGCAGCACCCGTTTGCTGACTCTGGGGGTGCTCGTCCCGGTAGCACTGGGGGTGGTCCCTCTGGGGGTGCTGGTGTGGAGAGTGTCGGGGGTAGCCGAGGAGCAGCTAGCGGTCCCGGTGTCGCCGTTGTGCCGCCGCAGCAGCAGTCCCCGCCGGTGTCAGCCCTTCGCCTGCTCGGCCTGCCGTCCCCCGACCCTGCGTCGGTTCCTCCCCGACCGTCTCCTCCTCTTCCTGTTTACGGCCCTGTTTTCCCTCAGCCGGACTCGTCCCTGGCTCGTCTCCCCCCTCGTTCCCCTCCTGTGTCCCCTCCTCTGTCTCCTGACCCGACTCCTCCGTCGCACGTCTGGTCTCACCGTCCCTCCCGTGCTCGTCCTGTCTCGCCTGTCCTGCGCTCCCACCCTATGTTGCTTCGTTCCCACGCGTCTTGTCCTCCCCTTCTCCCGTCGCCTCCTCCGTCCTCCCTTGTTGTTGCGCCCCCCCCGCTGTCCGACTACCTTCAAGCCGCTCGTCCTCTCGTTCCTCGGGTCCTTGCCTCTCTCGTTACCGACCCGTCTGTTCCGGTCTCGTGCCTTGACGCTCTTGTCGCTGCTGTCGCTGACTTCGCCTCTACCCGCCGCCTTGACTACGCCACCGCTCTGGTCTCTGACCCTGCCTGTCCTCAGTCTGTCGGGGGTGCTCCTGCCCTTGGCAGTGACGTCCTGGAGGACCGCCAGTTCGAGCTTGCTTTCCTCTCCGAGGCTGCTCCCCATCTCTGTTCCATGCTGCTAGTCCCTGAGGGTGACCCAGACGCTTTCGACATCCCGACCCCTCGCACTTACGCTGAGGCGACTTCGGGACCCCGGGCCTCGCAGTGGATAGCTGCCATGGAGCAGGAGATGGCATCTTGGAGATCCACCGGCACCTTCGTCGACGCAGTTCCCCCGCCTGGGGTGAACGTAGTCGATGGCCGCTGGCTCTTCAAGGTGAAGCGCCCTCCTGGAGAGCCGCCTGTCTTCAAGGCGCGCTATGTGGCTAGAGGCTTCAGTCAGCGCGAGGGGGTGGATTTCTTCCAGACCTTCGCTCCGACCCCGAAGATGACTACTCTTCGGGTTCTGTTACACCTAGCTGCTCAGCGTGACTACGAGCTTCACTCCCTCGACTTCTCCACTGCCTTCCTTCAGGGCAGCCTACACGAGCAGGTCTACCTGCGCCGCCCTCCGGGCTTTACTGGCACCTTCCCTCCTGGGACCCAGTGGCTCCTGCGGCGCCCCGTCTACGGCCTGCGCCAGGCTCCCCGTGAGTGGCACGACACTCTCCGTGCTACGCTTGCTGACCTGCAGTTCTTTCCGTCTTCTGCAGACCCTTCACTCTTCGTTCGTGCTGGCCAGACTCCGTTCTACATCCTCGTTTACGTCGACGACCTGGTCTTTGCCACAGCAGACAGGGACGCGCTGGCCTCCGTGAAGGCAGAGCTGCTGAAGAGACACACCTGCACTGACCTTGGAGAACTGCGCCGTTACCTTGGCTTGCAGATCTCCAGGGACAGAGCTGCGCGCACCATCACCCTGACTCAGTCACACTTGGTGCGCCAGGTCCTTCAGAGGTTCAGCCTTCAGTTCTCCTCTGCACAGCCCACCCCTCTGCCTGTAGACCACAGGCTCTCTGCTCCAGTGCCTGAGGAGTTGGTAGAGCCCAGCGGCCCCTACGCAGAGCTGGTGGGTTGCCTCATGTACCTGATGACTTGCACTCGCCCAGATCTCGCATACCCTCTCAGCATCCTGGCTCGCTTTGTGGCCACAGGCAGACACCGACCGCAGCACTGGTCTGCCGCTAAGAGGGTTCTGCGTTATCTTGCTAGTACATCGGGCATGGGGTTAGTGCTAGGAGGACGCAGGCCAGTGGTCCTTACTGGGCACACAGACGCTTCGTGGGCAGACGACGCTGAGACACTCCGGTCTACCCAGGGCTACTGCTTCAGCCTTGGCTCAGGTGCCGTTTCGTGGAGAGCTACTCGCTCCTCGTCTGTTGCACAGTCCAGCTGTGAGGCTGAGATCTACGCCGGTGCCATGGCGGCACAGGAGCTCCGCTGGCTGACCTTCTTGCTCACTGACTTAGGTGAGCGGCCTAGCTCTGCCCCGGTCCTGTTCGCTGACAACAGGGCCATGATCCTCCTGTGTCAGGAGCCTCGACTCGAGGGCAGAGCGAAGCACATTCAGCTGCGGTACTTCCTCCTGCGTGAGCTACAGCAGCGACGTCAGGCTCGCGTAGTACACTTGGCCTCAGGTGCCAACACGGCTGATATCTTTACGAAGGCGCTTGCGCCTAAAGATCATCAGCGGCACTGTGTCCAGCTTGGTCTAGTTCCTGTAGCCTCTCACTTGCTAGGACCTTGACTTTGTACTGTCCTTTATATGTATACTCAGACTGGACTTGTGTCCTCTCCCAATGGCTGGACTAGTAGTGCCGCCCTGCTCTTGTGCTTGCCTTGTCTGTACTCCTTCTGACTGGTCGCTCAGACCCTTGTCTCAGAGGTTAATCACTTGAATTTCTGATAGTCCGTGCCGTCCGTGCGCTGGCCCGTCGACGTCGCCATGGCAGCACGACGACGCCGTCACTGCAGCACAACATGGCCGTGGCGGCGGCGCGGAAAGGACCGGAGGGATGAGCCAACGTTGCGGAAGCGTGATGAGCAGGCCCGAGCAGAAGGACCTGCTCTGAAACCATGTTAAGATAGCTAGGTAAGGAAGAAGCCATGGCTATGGCGAGAGGGTTTTAGGCCAGAAGAAAGTTATGACAGGAAAGAGTGTTGGACTAGAAGAGAACGAGATACAAGAAGGGTGGGGGGTTGTCCCCGCTACAGTAGGATTCAGAAATATAGCAAACCTACCGAGGCTACAATGATGTAATATATAGTTTAGCAAGGAGCACCATACTTTGTGGCTGTAATGGCCCCAAGGAACAGTCTTATATCATCATTTCACAGTAAATTATGATAACACCACTTTGTTTGACTTCAGATTCCACTCTGCAAATTGTTCCTCAAGCGGAACTTCCCTAAAACAGTAAGTGTCCAGCAAGCATGGACACTAGAGATACAAGTGAAACGGTGAAGACGCTAGCTCTCTTATATTCTAGTGGCGGGGGTGCACTTTGCCCTGTAGCATTACCGCACGATGCACTGCTCTTGATCTTCCCAAACGACTCGCTGAACTGGTTGGCGTCAACAACGCCAGCAGGGCAGTTTCCGGGCACAGCCATGTTATTGCAGCAGGAGGTAGACTTCGGAAGCGCCTTGGGACCAGTGTAGCATTTACCGTCAGCCTGGCGGTGGGGAGAGCAGGGCGAGGAATGGTGGAGCCATCAGAGCATAAGCATTGTGGGGATTATGAGAGTGCTCCACAATGCATGTTGGGAGTGGTGAGGTGAGCCCTTTGCGAGGAACGAACAAGCATGCAGAAATTTTGCAGTTAAGACGGGGTAGATTGAAAAGGCTGCTGCAGGGGACGGAGTAGAATGATAGACGGTTCGAAATGAGCCGGAACTTCAAGCTACACGGAATTGAGACGGGAAACTACCTTGTCGACGTTGATAGTCACGTCTTTCAGTCCTGTTGCCATCTTGACGATGCTGGTCATGGCACCCGACATGAAGCCGCTCGCATCCTTGATTAGCGTGCTTAGCTTGAAACTGCTATCTGGGAGATTAAAAACATTATGGAAATTAGTGGCTTTTTTAACAAAGTGGAGCTCCGCAGATGTGTGGCTTCAGGGAGTCCCGCAGATAGGTGTTTTTCAGGAAACAGTCAGATTGGCACAGGAGGTCGTCTTGTCTGCACGCGCTGAGCTCGTCTGCTAGCTAGCTACGAGCCATCATTACGAAACCTTTTTTCGGCATTATTCATTTTAATCGACAAGGGGAGGGGAGGGCTTACAAGTGAGTCCAGAGCAGGCGTCGTAGACTCGGTTCGCCATGGCTTCGCAGACCGTTACGGTTGTCGCTCCATTTTTAAAAGTCACGTAGTTGCTTGAACCTGAGGGTGGTGGTAAATGCGCGAAACGAAAAAAGAAACGGAAGGAGCCGTCACAAACCGAAGGTAAAACCAGATTCGTACAGCTACGATCGGACTCAATCATTTTGAAGTGCTGTCTACATTGAGCGCGGAACCCAACCTTCGTTGCGCGGAACTGCCGTACCTGGATTGCAGGTTATAGCGCAGATCATGCTTTCCACCAGGAGCGAACAGCTCTCCTTTCCTTCAAACATACTGCAGAACTGCAAGAAAGAAGCATAACGTCAACGAGACATTAGTACCCGCCAAGCTCCCTTCGAGCACTTAAGCATCTCCCTGAACCGTTGAAGTAAATTCTTAGCGCTAGTACCTGAATTTCCGTGCCTTCAGGGACGAGTTTTGCGTAGTCTGGCTGGATGTCGGCGACAAGCTTGGTCACATCTGCTGTGAGTAGGTTCAGTGCGTAGCGGAAATCGCTGCAGTCCTCGCAGCAAGACGACTTGGCTGCATCCAGACAGCGTGCGGACGGGATATTTGGAACGCTAGGCGGTTTCCCCGTCAACGGACATGTTAGCGGCGTGGGAACGGAGATTGCGAGTGGGAGGAACACTGCAAACAGGAACAGAACAGCCGACGTCGTCTTCATGGTGAATCTGAATGCTGCTTTGGCTTTAGCCACCACTAGAGGACTACAAAGAGGTAAACGGCTACGTGAGCTCACAAACGGAGTAGTGGACGCAAGCACACAAAAAATCAACGCTGGCTGTGGCTAAGGAAGCAGAGAAGAAAATGGAGAGTTGACAAGGGGCAACGGGAAATGACTATTTCTCTCTGGGTATTGGAGCTCTCAAGGTTTCTTAGGATTCCGAAAAAAAGGCTTCCAGGAACTTTCAGGGCGTGTCCAGCGCGTTCGTTTACTATTCACTTTGCGGATCAGGTACAGAATTTTGTCCTGGTAACCCGAAATTTCGTGTCCATTCGGACACGCACGATAAATTGATGGTTTCGGCGGACACCTTCCAGACGTGCCCACAGACGTGAGCCACACGTTTCCGAACCGAATGAAAATCGTGCGCAAATTATGTACACGGCAGAAACGTCCAAAACCTGGCTGGCGAAAAATATAACGCTTACCTTCGCCAGGATTTCGTGACGCTTGCGAAGCACGGCGAAAAAATCGGAAGAAGAATTGGAGTTGCATGCGCGGAAAATTGAGCCCTCCATTTTTTCCCCCCTGGGTGGAGTCGCGGCTCGTAATGCGTGTTCGCGAAAGCGGGCGGGGCCTCTTTCCCGGGGCGACATTCGGTTACCCTGATTCTTTCGCGCGTCAGTCTGTTATGTGCGCGCTGCGCACCCGCTCATCTGTCGAGCCACGGGCGGGACTCGTGTCCACTCGTGTCCCAGCGTTTTGCTGTTGATACAGTAGGTGTACCTCAACACATTCACACTTGGCGAATCAATATTTCTGCGTGTGAAAAAAACGTCAAAAATTCGTGTTGGGGCAAAATGAACGCGCTGGAGACGCCCTGAGCAAGCCTTGGGAGTTCTGGAGTCCGGCAGTCAGGAAAGACCCAGCGAGCAATTTCCGAAATCACAAGAACCTTCGCCCTGCCTGCAGCATGTCGTGCAAGTACCCCAGCAGCGAATTCGCGACATGAAAGACGGTGTCGTGCACCCAATCACGCTGCAGGGATGACAACGGCGGTGGAGGCAATTTGGGTTCATTAGGTGCGTGTGGGTGCCTGATGGTGGTTTGGGAGGGAATTTTTTGTTTGAATTCGCGGCTTGAAAAAAACGGCCGTTGTCTGCACCAGAAAAGCAGTGTCGAATTTAGAGAAACTCTGAAATCGATACAAGACGAACTGTAGAAAGACCACAGGGAAACGTAAGACATCCCTTTGTATTTCGCTTTCCACGCATTTTAGTCGTGGATTAGATTCTACACCAGAAAATTTTCTATGAGATAGAACTCGATTTTTTCATGCTATTTCTGAATTAGAATGTCATCCTAAAGCTTTCTTCAACATTTTAGCATAATTATCTCTTAAACTTTCTTCAAACTTGTTGCTTATAGCGGGAGCCTCTCCGAAAAGCGGCAGCATCTGCAAGCCCAAGTCGGGGACAAGGCTCCTCGGCGACGAGAAACTGGTGAGGAGGAAAGAGTATTGAGGCGAGGTAAGTCGAACAAAAACCGCACAAAAATCAGCAGTGTAGCTCCCGCGCCGGCTGGGTTAGCCCAAATCCAGAGAGAGGGATGACGGGGTAAATGGAGGAAGGGAGGGAGAGAGGGAGGGAAGAAAGGGGAAGGCTGAGGAGGACGGAAGAGAGCGAAGGCGACGAGGTTGTCGAGGTGATTAGAATGGCGAATACTATTCGTGGCGATAACGAGGAGATTAGCGACGAAAGAGAGGATGCTGGACGAGAAATTTGCGAGACCAGAGACGAAAGCGAGGAACGTCCTGATGAAGGCGAGAGGGCTCGCGAAAGCGAGGAGGCTCGCGAAAAGGAAGAGGAGGTTTCGCAAGCAGGGAGAGAGGAGGTTTCGCAAGCAGGGAGGGAGGAGGTTACGCAAGCAGGGAGAGAGGAGGTTACGCAAGCAGGGAGGGAGGAGGTTGCGCAAGCAGGGAGAGAGGAGGTCACGCAAGCAGGGAGAGAGGAGGTCACGCAAGCAGGGCGAGAGGAGGTTGCGCAAGCAGGGAGAGAGGAGGTCACGCAAGCAGGGAGAGAGGAGGTCACGCAAGCAGGGCGAGAGGAGGTTACGCAAGCAGGGAGAGAGGAGGTTGCGCAAGCAGGGAGAGAGGAGGTTGCGCAAGCAGGGAGAGAGGAGGTCACGCAAGCAGGGAGAGAGGAGGTCACGGAAGCAGGGAGGAAGGAGGTTACGGAAGCAGGGAGGGAGGAGGTTACGGAAGCAGGGAGGGAGGAGGTTACGCAAGCAGGGAGGGAGGAGGTTGCGCAAGCAGGGAGAGAGGAGGTTACGCAAGCAGGAAGAGAGGAGGTTACGCAAGCAGGGAGGGAGGAGGTTACGCAAGCAGGGAGAGAGGAGGTTGCGCAAGCAGGGAGAGAGGAGGTCACGCAAGCAGGGAGGGAGGAGGTTACGGAAGCAGGGAGGAAGGAGGTTACGGAAGCAGGGAGGGAGGAGGTTACGCAAGCAGGGAGGGAGGAGGTTACGCAAGCAGGGAGAGAGGAGGTTACGCAAGCAGGAAGAGAGGAGGTTACGCAAGCAGGGAGGGAGGAGGTTACGCAAGCAGGGAGAGAGGAGGTTACGCAAGCAGGGAGAGAGGAGGTTACGCAAGCAGGGAGAGAGGAGGTTACGCAAGCAGGGAGAGTACTGAGGAGCAGGAGGAAGGCAAGCTTGGAAGATAAGGTTGTGGGCGGTAAAGGAGAAGCCTTGGGGGAAAGGGAGGCCGGGGCAAGAGGGGACGTGGGGGCTAAGGGGACGGCCGAGTTTGCGCAACCAGGGAGAGAGCTGAGGGGCGGGAGTGTTAGTAGTTTCATTTTGAGACGGCTCAAATCGGAGTTACTGACACACGAGGGGGAACGGGATGTAGGGGCTAAGGGGACGGTCGAGGCTGTGCTAACAGGGAGGATACTGAGGGGCGGGAGGACGCTGGACGGGAAACGGGAGATCTTGGGGGAAAAGGGGACAGGGGCGGGGCGGGAGGCAAGAACAATAGGTGCAAAGCGGGAGATAAGGGATAAACGGGAGGTAGTGGCTAAGGGAATGGTCTCGGTGAAGAGTAGGGGAGAGAAGGGGAGAGGAAAGGGGACAACGGCTTGGGGGGGAGGGGCGGTAGACGGGGGAAAGGGGAAGGCGGATAAGAAAAAAAAAGAGGGTGATGGGGTTAAGAAAAGGGTTTATGGGGGGGTAGATGAGGGGGGGGTTGGTGGAGAGGAGAAGGGGAAGGGAGGGGGTGGAAGGGCGGCTGAGGGGCAGAGGAAACGGATGCGGGTAACGGAAAGGCAGCAACGGGACAGGAAAGGGGAGGAGGGCGCAGAAAAAGCAGGAGGGATGAGACGGGTAACGGAAAGGGCGAAGCGGGTCAGGGAAGGGGAGGAGGAGGACGCAGGCGAAGCGGGAGGGGAGCTGAGAAGGCTGTCAGGTGAGACAGCAGCGACGAGCTGGTTGGCTGAAAGGCAGAGGAGTAGGGGAAGGCAAAGGGAAGAGACGAGGGAAGAGACAAGGGACGAGGGGGACGCAGGCGAAGCAGGAGGAAGGAGGTGGAGGAGGCTGACAGGAGAGACGGCGGCGACGAGCTGGTTGGCTGAAAGGCAGACGAATAGGGGAAGGCTGACAACGGAGGAGATTAAAGACGAGACTAGAAAACTCCTGGAGCAAGGGGATCTAAAAAAGGTGAGGGACTGGGACTGAGAGATTCGTAGTGGGTAGTGGGGGGCTTGGTAGTGGGGGACTTGGGTGGTGGGGGACTTGGGTGGTGGGGGACTTGGGTGGTGGGGGACTTGGGTGGTGGGGGACTTGGGTGGTGGGGGACTTGGGTGGTGGGGGACTTGGGTGGTGGGGGATTTGGGTGGTGGGGGACTTGGGTGGTGGGGGGCTTGGCATGACGGAGTGAATTTTCGGTACTGGAAATTAAGGCTGAGGGGATGGAGAAGAAGTGTTGTGAGGGGAAGCAGAGATGGGGACGGCTGACAGGGGAGGAGATTAAGGGTGATGAACCAGAGAGATGGCGGCGGTTGAGCTTTAAATAAACGTATAGCAGCTCTTCAAGTATTTTTTAGGCACCTCAATTCACTTGCTTTTAATAAGGGTGTAGCAGCTCTTGAAGCGGCTCTCAGATTCATTCTCCCCATATCGCCTCCCCCATTTCTGTAACCCTTGTTTACCTTGGCCCACGTGCTGCAGAGGACTGTTACATCCGTGCAACAGCAGCTTACATCTGTCGCCCCCGCCTCCTTCCCCCTACTTGTTTCTCTCCCCCCACGTGTTGCAGATGACTGTTACATCCGTGCAACAGCAGCTAGGTAAGCCTCGCTTTGGCCTTCACTTTGACCAGGGAAACCCACCCCCAAAATAAAGAAATAAATAACATAGAACGAGAAGGTCAAGAGCCTGAGGACATCGCAACTGTGCCGTTGTTTACCCCGACGCGTGTTGCCACCTTCCATCCCCTACCCCCTCACTTGCTGTTCCAATGCATGTGTGTCTGTGCTGGTTTTATTTTTGAGGCGCCTCAAAAGTACACATGTTTGACTGTGCTAGTTTTATTTTTTAGGTGCCTCAAGCATAGGCATGTGTGACTCTGCTGAACTTATTTTTTAGGCGCCTCAAAAATATTCTCATTTCACGCGGATTTCACTCATGAGTGATGCTCGCCCCTCACTTCCTGTTCCAAGGCATGTATGACTTTGCTGCATCTCCTCCCCCTCTCTCCCCCCCTCTCCCCCTCTCTCTCTCCCCATATCTCTCTCCCCCTCTCTCTCTCTTCCCCAAGCAGGGGAGATTTTTGGGGAGAATCTTCTGGTGAGCAGCAAGCGAGTGAGGGCGCTGGTGTATGAGATATTTCAAGAGGAGTGGCACGCGGCAATGATGCAGTGACTGGTGCTTGAGAGTGGTTACGGTGTCACCTGGGCTGGGTTGAGCTACTGCCCAGTGAGGGCAAGGGCAGCGAATGAGGGTACTGGTGTATGAGATACAGTATTTCAAGAGGAGTGGCACGCGGCAATGAGATAGCAACCAAGGCAATGAGATGCCTAGCAACCAGCGCCTCCAAGTGGGCAGATCACCTGTGCTGAGCAGCCGTGCAGGCAGCGACTCAGCGGCAAGCGAGTGAGGGTGCTGCTGGCGTGTAAAATATTCCCGGACGAGTGGCACACGGCAACGGCGACACGATAAGACGGACAATGGCAAGTGCTGTGCTGTTGTTGAGCAGCGAGCGAGTGAGGGTGCTGCTGGTGTGCTGCTGGTGCTGCGAGTGAGGCACGCAGCAATGGCAGCACAATAAGATGGACAATGGAAAGTGCGGTGCTGTTTTTGAGCAGCAAGCAAGTGAGGGTGCTGATGGTGCTGCGAGTGAGGGTGCTGCTGGTGTGCTGCTGGTGCTGCGAGTGAGGGTATTGTTGTATGGAATGCTCTGAGTGGTGTGCAACGGCACAGTAATTGGCTTTTGCAGGTGGGCAGTGGTCAGATCAGATCACCTGTGCTGATGAGCAGCTACGCAATGAGCAGCGAGCGAGTGGGGATGCTGGCGAGCAGCAAGCGCGCAACTGGCGAGGTCACATCACATGCACCCTTACCTGGGTGCTGGCTGGTGTGGTGTTTGAGGTGGCTGGCAAGGGGAGTGGCCAGGCCACATGCACCGGACCAGAACCAGTGTCGAACATATATGCATATGTTATTATAGGCTAGATAGGTGCATGCTCTTAGAGAGTACAACTCACTAGCACAAAGTCACCCTGTACCCTCCATTCTAGTCAATGCGTTATTCTGAGATGGTATCACGCTAGGTTAGGTCCCTCACCCGCGCTTCCGCCCTAGATCGCCCTAGTCCCTGTAATAATTTGACCGGTGGTGCAGGAGACTAAGTATAGAATGTGCAACCACGAGCAGGCCTGATGTTAAAAAAAAAAAAACCCCTGAGCTGTCGACTATTTTTTTTTTTTTTTTTTAACCCTGAGGGCTCAGTTTTCAAATTTTGCCTACCCTGATTTGGTAAGTGTTCAGAAGTCTGGAACCCTGAAAATCCCAGGGTTCACCGAACGCGTTCAGGGTTGCCTTCAACACGAGGGTGGAATAAAAAATGGGGGGAAAAGGGGGAGGGAATCAAACCGAGGGGAGGGGGGAAGCGAAACGGAGGGGAAGGGGGTGGATGGAAACATAGGGGAAGAGAGGAAGCGAAACGGGGAGGGAAAAAGGGGGGTTGGGGGGGGGGGGGGGGGGGGGTGTTCGAAATACAGTAGAGAGGAATGGGAGAAGCGAAACGGAGGGGAAGGGGGGATCGAAACGGAGGGGAGGGGGGAAGCGAAACGGAGGGAGAGGTGGGGATCGAGGCGAATGGGGCAGTGGCAGAAACCTCCCGCGCTTGCAGCGCCATGGGCGAATCGAGGACGTTAATCATACGCGATCATCTAATGGCTTAAATTTGTCGAAACGTTCGCGATTGATCGTGACCGTCAAAGTTTGATGGACTTTCAGTTGACCACACGGGCAAAATCAAAAGTTTCCTTAAGAAGGAGGCATTGCCGCTAGTACCCATGAAATTTAGGGCTAGGTTCATTGCCAGCTTTGAAACCTACGGTACCTTCTTCAAATTGATTACTTGACCGTTAGCCTTTTTTATGGGTTGTGGGAGTGTGGGAGGGGGGACTTGTGTACAATAGGACTAAGCCGATTTTTTGTGTGCTGTCACTACCTATCAAGACTTAGCTAATTTTTGTGGGTTGTTAGGTGTGTAGGGGGATGTCTGTACGACACATGACTTCGCCAATTTTTGTGGGCCGAGAACTGCCTTGCTAGAAGCCGGGGTTATGTTTGGCTCGTCTCTGGTTTTACAGGGGTTTTTCAGATGGGCCCAATTCGTCTGAGCTAGCAAAAAAACTAGCTCAGGTCGCGCAAATCTGAGCCGTTAATGATTGACCAACGATGAACAGCTGAGAAGCGTCGAAACGATCGCGCTCGATCGTGACCGTCAAAGTGTGGTAGATTTTTTTGGGGGAACTGGGGGCCTGGGGGAAATTACGAAATGAACCAATGCTGCTAGAAAACAACAGTTTGGCTAAACGGAGCGGGGAAGCGAAACCGAGGGGCACGAGGATCAAAACGGAGGTGAGGGGGGGATCGATATCGAGGGGGATGTCTGCAAGAGCGTGGGAGGGGGAATGTCTGTCTGTACATGAGGACTTAGACAACTTTTTGTTGAGGAGAGTGCTCCTCTGGCTACTAGGACTTAGCCGACTATTTGTGGGTTGTTGCGGGTGTAGGGGGAATGTCTACCATATGACTTAGCCGATATTTGTCGATTATTGTGGGGTGTGTAGGGGGAATGTCTGTACAATTAGGACTTGGCCAATTTTTGTAGGTTGCTGTGTGTGTGGGGGTAATGATTCTAGAGATTTGGGACATCGCCGAAATTTCAGGGCTGTGAGGCACATGAATATCGCACTTAGGGTTCGTACGCGTTGCTCCCTGAAAACTCAGTCTTGGCATAACGCAATCCCTGAAATCCTAAGTGTTCATAAACTTACAACCCTGAAGGGGCTAGGCTTAAGAAAAGTCTAACCCTGAAAATTAAGGGTTGGCCGAAAAAATACCCTGTGAAATCAGGGAATCAGGGGAAAATACCTTGATAACGACAGGCCTGACCACGAGTACTTAACCAAGGATCTTTGCTGGAATGGTAGACTAGTAAGACAGCGGAAGTCTTATAGGAGTGAACCTGAGCACATCAACTTGTGGGTAGTCGAAGGTTGAATAACCTGAGCACATAATTATGTGGAAAGTCAAGGTTGAAAAGAGAAAGGCATTACAAGGATTTATAGCACTAGGAAAATATCTGTTTGCTAATGTACCTGTTTGTCACTATCGCGCTATGCGACATATTCGTCATACTATAGGGTCGCGACTGTTCACGTGACTGAAACGACTCGTTACGCCTATTCGCGTAACTGAAACGATATGCTGACGTAACCCCGAGACGCGCGATGCTTTGGTGACGTCATCACTCTGACCTGTTTCCTTACTGAGAAACTCGATACTGCTAACTACACTGAAAACGGAACTTGCAGGAATGCAAAACTTCATTTATCACAACACTCCCTAGCGCCCGCCCTGGTTCCTAGCGCCCGCCCTATCGTGTGCCGCGCGAGCCCTCGCCCGCTGGCCCCACTCGCACCGCTGGCCCCACGCTCGCCCGCTGGCCCACGCTCGTCGCTGACCCCCACGTTCGCCCTCTGGCCCCACGCTAGCCGCTGGCCCTTGTGCGCGCCGAGCGAGCAATCGCCGCTGGCCCCACGCTCGCCCGCTGGCCCCGCGCTCGCAACGTCCCTTGCGCGCGCCGCGCGAGCCATCACCGCTGGCCCCACGCTCGCCCACTGGCCCCACGCTCGCCGCTGGCCCCACTCTCGCCCGCTGGCCCCACGCTCGCGGCTGGCTCCTAGCTCGCCGCTGGCCCTTCGTTCGCTGCGCGCTGGCCCTAGCTCGCCGGCCCTAGCTCGCCGGCCATCGCTCCCCGGCCCCAGCTCGCCGGCCCTAGCTCGCCGGCCCTTGCTCGCCGGCCCCAGCTCGTCGGTGCTCGCTCGCCGGCCCGTGCTCGCTAGCCACCCCCAGCTCGCTGGCCCCAGCTCGCTGGCCCAAGCTCGCCTGCCCCAATTTGAGCCGGCCTCGGTTCGCGCCGGCCCCAGCTCCTGCAGGCCCCAGTTTGAGCCAGCCGCAGTTCGCGCCGGCCCTAGCTACCGCCGGCCCCAACTCCTACCGCCCCTGCGCGCCACCTCCGCCAGACTTTGCTTGCCGAGCCGCGCCGTCCCATCTTATCGTGCCGCTAAGCCGCCGTGCCACCGTGCCGCTGTATCGCCATGCCGCCGTGCCATTGTGTCGCCGTGCCGCTATGATGCCGTAAACGTGGTAATGGTGGACGCTGTGCTCCGCCTTGACGCGAAGGGTCGGGCGGTTGATTTTGAGGCGTGGCACGTCGACCTTCGCCATCAGCTGACAGATCGGTGCTAGGACGGCTATTCCCTGGCCGTCCATGCTGACGGTAAGCTCCCCTGCCCCAACGTGCCTGCTACCCTCGCTGACGCCCCCACGTCTGCTGAGTGTGAGGCCTTTGCCGCTGCTGAGCTTGCACGCGTTGTCTGGGAGTCGCGCACCTTGCTATAAGTCTCGCCCTCCCCCTGTCTGAGCATCCCCACTTTACGGCTGTAGCGAATGCGAAGGAGTACTTAGATGCGGTCATTGCACACTATTCCACTCTCTCCTCCGCCTTTGCCGGCCGTCTGATCCTCTCCATGCTATTTCCTGATCTTGCGTCCTTCCCCACTGTCGCAGATCTTGCCACTCATCCACGTGCCCTTGAAACTAGCTATCGCGCTGCTACCACTGAGGCCCAGCTCACAGCATTCCCTCCTCCCCTTTGAGCTACCCTTTACCGCATTGTCACGCGCCTTCCTGACCGCCTCGCCACTGCCCGCGACCACTTCCTTAGTCAGCACCCAAGTGACCTTACCCTAACTACTTTTGTCACCACCCTGTCTGCGATAGAGACCCCCCAGCGCACTATCGCTCAGTCTAGCGATACTACGCTGGTCCCTATCTTCCAGGGTTGTGCTCCCTCCTAGTGCACTTACTCTGACGTTTCTGCCGCTATCGCTGAGGCAGCTCCTGCTGCTGAGATTGCCTCCACGGCGGCCTCAGCGCAGCCTCGTCAGGGTAAGGGCTACCGCCCCAAGGGGGGGCGTGGCAGAGGGAGGGGTAGTGGGGGTGGCAGTGGTGGTGGAGGTGGTGTGAGTGCCGGCGGTACCGACGAGGGGACCGGGGTTGATCCTCCGGAGCAACAGTAGCAGCAGCAGCCGCAGCAGCAACAGTCGCAACGAAAGTGGGGTCGCCTCTCGCCAGGGTGGCCCCGGTGGCTCTGGTGGTGGTGGCCGTGGTGGCGGCCCTCGCGGCGTCGGGTGGCAGCTTCAGCTCTGTGAGTTGCTAGTACCAGCTCCCGTCTTGCCCCCTTCGTGGCACTGTCTGTGGCCGTACCAGTCACAGAGCCGCTCGCTGCTACCTCCACCTTGACGACCTCTCCCGTCTCCGCTTCAGCCCTGTACTGGACCTCCCTGACTGGCCCAAAATCGTGCATCGACGTGTGCTGGTCTTTAAGGTGGATACGGATATGATTTGCTCTGCTTTGCATGCCATGTATGCTGATGACTCTAGTGTGACCGAACCTTATTATAGTGTGTTGCCTAGTGTAGGTGTGCCCACTGCGTGTAGTCTAGGCTCACCTGCTGCGTCAGGGGTAGGACCTCCTGCCTTGCTTAACATTGGTTCTATGCTAGCTCCTCCACCGACTGACGCTACCGCTGCTCTCTCCTTCACGCTGGACTCAGGTGCGTCTGTTTGCTTCTTTTGCGACCATACTGCCCTTACACCGCTTGCCGCCCCTGCCGATGTTGCTCTTGCCGACCCCTCCTTAGGTCTGGCTGTTGCACGTAGCTCCACTACCCGTCCCTGTCCGGCGGTTCCCTCAGGCTCTCTTACACGCTTTCAGCTCCACTCGTTCTCCAGGAACCTAGTTGGCGTTGGCTGTCTTCAGGACCTTGGTGTTACCGCTATGTTTCCTGGTCACGAGCGGTAAGCGGTCTGTACCGAGGCCGAAACAAGTGCCCCCTTCACCACGTTCCCGCAGGACCCGGTGTCTTGCCTGTTTACGTTGGACACTGCGCCCCCCCGGGTGCATGCGTTTACCCAGGTTGCTGCGGCTTGATCGTATCGGTCGCTCACCCACCCGTCGCTACTGTGGCACCACCGCTTAGGTCTCCCTGCACTCCCGCGTCTGCGTCACATGTCCCAGCAAGGTCTCGTCTTAGGTTTCCCTTCGTCGCTCCCTGCTCTCCCTCCCTCGCCTGCGCCACCGTGCACGCCCTGCGTCGAGGGCCGTCTGCGTCGTGCTCCTCACTCCTCACATCCCCCTACCACTGCGCCACTCCAGACCCTGCAATTGGACGTCTGGGGCCCAACCCCTGTCCCTGCAATTGGACGTCTGTGTCGAGAGTGCTACTTTCTTGTGCTTGTCGACGACTACACGCGCTACACCACAGTGTTTTTCGTGGAGTGGAATGCCGACGTGCCTGCCGTTCCTTTCCCGTGGGTCGTAGCTGTGCGGGTCCACCGCAGCCTCCCTGTGCTGCATCTTCACTCTTACTGTGGCGGCGAGTTAGCCTCCGGTCGGCTTGGCCAGTTCTGTCGTGCGGAGAGCATCACCCAGTCGCACATCCTGCCGGACTCCCCGTAGTTGAATGGGGTCGCTGAGCGACGCATCGGTTTGGTCATGGAGGTGGCTCGTACCTCCATGATCCGTGCACTCCATCTTTTGTGGTCATTCGCTATTCACTATGCCGCTCACCAGTTTAACCTGTGGCCACACTCCCAGCGAACGCAAGTTTTGCCGACCCTCCCAAGTTACGCGTCTGTGTTCCAATTCTGGGACTGCCTTGCTCACGTTTGTGCCTCTAGCATGGACAAGCTCACTGCCTACACTGTCCCTTGTGTCTTCCTTGGCTTCCCCCTAGATGCGTCTGACTGGTACTCTTATCACTCGCCGTCTTACCGTTTCTTTCACTCTCGTGAGGTCACTTTTGACGAGTCTGTCTCCTTCTATACTCGTTTTCCCTACCGAGGTCTCCCAGTTACCCCGCCCCTGTTTCTGGTTCCCACTCCCCTAGTAGCCCCTGCTCCACTCCCTCCCTGTCTTGCCCGTCTGGTGTGTCTCACGCCACTCCCCTCCTGTTGGTTGTCACGGTAGAGGAGACGACTGAATTTGGGGGCTCTGCAGCTCCATTTTCGATGCATGCCTCTGCCCTGGTGTCTCCTCCTCCGCCGGTGCAGCAGCCGCCGCCGTCGCAGCCGCAACAGTAGTCGCCGCTGCCGCAGGGGTCCGCGTGCTCTAGGGGTGTGGGCGTTGAGGAGGGTGCTAGTCCAAGGGGTACTATCGTGGCTTGTCCCGGCGGTCCTGGAGGTGGCAGGGGTGCTAGAGAGGGTTATCATTCTGGGGGTGTTGGTTATGGGGGTGCTAGTCCTGGGGGTTCTGTCGTGGCTTGTCCCGACGGTCCTGGGGGTGGCACCGGTGCTAGAGAGGGTTCTTGTTCTGGGGGTGCTAGTCCTGGGGGTGCTGTCGCGGCTTGTCCCGGCGGTCCATGGGGTGGCACGGGTACTGGAAAGGGTTCTCGTTCTGGGGATGCTCTCATAGAGCATCCTGGAGGTAGCCGTGGTGCGGCTAGAGGTTGTGGCATCGGCGTGGAGCAGCAACAGCAATCGCCGCTGGTGTCCACCCTTCGCCTCCTGGGTCTTCCCTCCCCCAACTGCCCGTCTGCGCCTCCCCCCGCCACCTCCCCCGCCTATCCACCACCCTGTGCTTCTTCCACTGGACTCATCCCCGGCTCGTTTCCCCCCTTGTTCTCGTGATGTGTCTCCTCCCTTGTCTCGTGACCCGACCCCCCCCTCCTGCTGGTGGTCTCACCGTGCCTCTCATGCTCGTCCTGTTTCTCCTGTCCAGCGCTCTCACCCAATGTTGCTCCGCTCGTACGCGTCTTGTGCTCCTCTTCTACCGTCGCCTCCTCAGTCGTCACTTGTTGTCTCTCCGCCTCCTTTCTCTAACTTCCTCCGTGCAGGTAGTCCACTTGTCAATGGCCGGTGGCTCTTCAAAGTGAAGTGCCCTCCTGGAGAGCCACCGGTGTTCAAGGCGCGCTACGTTGCTAGAGTCTTCAGTCAGCGTGAGGGTTTTGAGTTCTTTCAGACTTTCGCCCCGACCCCAAAAATGACCACTCTTCGGGTGCTGCTTCACGTAGCAGCACAGCGCAACTACGAGCTGCACTCCCTCGACTTCTCCACGGCGTTTCTCTAGGGCAGTCTGCACGAGCAGGTCTACTTGCACCGTTCGCCAGGCTTCACTGGCACCTTCGCCCCTAGGACCAAGTGGCTTCTTCGACGCCCGGTTTACGGCTTGCGGCAGGCACCTCATGAGTGGCACGACACGTCGTGTACTAACTTAGCTGACCTGCAATTTTTCCCTTGGTCGTCTGCAAACCCTTAGCTCTTCGTTCGTTCAGGCCAGACCTCGTTCTAAATCCTAGTCTACGTAGACGACCCGGTCTTCGCTACTGCAGACAGAGATGCATTGGCCTCTGTGAAGGCTGAGCTGCTGAGAAGACACACCTACACTAACCTAGGAGAGCTGCGCCGCTACCTTGGCCTGCTGAACTCCGGGGACAGAGAAGTGCGCACCATCACTCTCACACAGTCACAATTGGTGCGCTAAGTCCTTCAGAGGTTCGGTCTTCAGTTCTCCTCCGCACAGCCCACACATCTGCCAGTAGATCACAGACTCTCGGCTCCAGTCCCTGAGGAGTCGGTAGAGCCTAGTCGTCCGTATGCAGAGCTGGTGGGTTGCCTCATGTACCTGATGACTTGCACTAGTCCAGATCTCGCATATCCTTTCAGCATCTTGGCTCGCTTTGTGGCGACAGGCACACACCGACCACAATACTGGTCAGTCGCTTAAAGGGTTTTGCGTTATCTAGCAAGTATATCGGGCATGGGGCTAGTGCTAGGAGGACGCAGGCCAGTGGTCTTTACAGGTCACACAGATGCTTCGTGGGCAGACGCTCATGTCTCGACAGGGCTACTGCTTCAGCCTTGGTGCAGGCGCCATCTCGTGGAGGTCCACCCGCTCGTCGTCTGTTGCACAGTCTAGCTGTGAGGCTGAGATCTACGTTGGTGCGATGGCGGCGCAGGAGCTGCTTTGGCTGATTTTCTTGCTGGCAGACTTAGGTGAGCAGCCTAGCTCTGCCCAGGTCATGTACGCTGACAACAGGGCCATGATCCTCCTGTGTCAAGAGCCTCGACTAGAGGGCAGAGCAAAGCACATCCAGCTGTGGTACTTCCTCCTGCGCGAGCTATAGCTACAAAGCCACGCCCGCGTAGTTCACTTGGCCTCTGGTGCCAACACAGCTGGTATCTTGACTAAGGCGCTTGCGCCTTAAGATCATCAGCGGCACTGTGTACAGCTTGGTCTAGTTCCAGTCCGGTAGCTCCTCACTTGATTGTGTACTACTCTTTTATATTTTCTCCTGACTGGCCTTGTGGCTTCAGTTCCAGTGGCCGTAATAGTAGTGCCGCCCTGGTTCGCACTTGTCTAGTTTGTACTCTTCAAACAGGTCTTCTGACCCTTGCCTCAGAGGTTGGACTAGGTAGTAGTGCCACCCTGAGCTGCGTGTCTCTTGCCAGGCACTACCCCTTGTCTAGGCTATGGGGGTTGTTGAACATATATGCATATGTTATTACAAGCTAGATAGGTGCATGCTCTTAGAGAGTACAAATTCCTAGCACAAAGTCACCCTGTACCCTCCATTGTAGTCAGTGCGTTATTCTGAGAAGCAGCTCTTGTTATCAAGCATTGCTATTCTGATAAACGTTACCGTAGTTACAATGTATAGAGCTGACATATGGCAATATACGCTGATGAAAGCAGGCGCAGCTTGTGTAGTGTGCACTGCAGGATGGTCTAGAATGCCACATGGCCGACATATCGCCTTGGCATGCGCAATTGTCATTGACTGCGTGCACAATTATCGGCCTCATACCCATAGCCTCATTGTGGTATCCATGTACTCTGTAATGCCGTGGTGCCTCACTGTATCAATTGACCCTGTCTGAAGCCAGCTGCACCTTCACAATCACTTGGCTGCGAGCACTACCAGACCAGAGGCCTCATCGTCTCACTGTCCATGTACCACTATCGGCGTCATCGCCTCATTGTTGTATCCATGTGATCCGTCATACAACTGTGTCTCACTGTATCAATTGACTCTGTCTGATCCCAGGGGCACCTTTAAGATCACTTGGCTGCGTGCACTACCAGACCAGAGGCCTCGTCGTCTCACTGTCCATGTACCCTGCAATGCCACTATGCCATGCGCCTCTCATAGCTTGCATGCGTACCCAGGTCCCCTAGTAGCTTTCTTGGTCATTCTCAGCAGCACCTCTGTCACCTTGCCGCCCGCACAATTATCGGCCGCATCGCCTCATTGTCCATGTACTCGGCAATGCCACTGTGCCACGCATAACCAGGCCCCCTGGTCGCATCAAACCCAAACCCTCCCCACCCCTTCCCACTCCCTCCTCCCTTTCTTCCCCCTCCTCCTCCTTTCCCCCCTTCCGCCCCCCCTCCCCCGAGGCTATCTGCGCTGCCCCAAGCGACCCATAGTGTAAGCACCTGCCTTGGCCAAACCACGCTGGTGTCTTGCCACCCCAGCCTCTCACCTCCCGGTATTCCCTTGGGTTTCTTTATAAAACATGAACGCGGGGTTCTGTCAACTGCCTTGCTTGCCTTGCTTGCCTCAACTGCTTTCCTTGCCGCTTTCCCCACCTCCACCTCCTTTTCTTCTCTCCTGTTGTTGTTGCTGCTGCTGTTGCTGCTGCTGCTCCCACTGTTACCACTGCTGCCGCTCTTGCTGTTGCTGCGGTTACCAGCTCTACTGTAGCTCGCCCACCCCAGGGCCCGATCCAACGCACAGAAACCGTCCAGAAAGGCCTCGGTGTCAAATCGACGGCGGGAGATGGGGCGGTGGAGGGCTAGGGGGATGTGGATGGGGTGGGCGATGGGGGAGAGGTTGACTATGTGCCATAGCTCGTATGTTCCCTGTTGTAGGAAGACAGGATGTGGGGGGAAGGGAATAAGCAAAGGAGAGAGCGAGAGGGATGTGGATGGGGTGGGCTATTGGGGAGAGGTTGACAATGTGCCATAGCTGGTATGTTCCCCGTGGTGGAGAGAGAAAAGGAGGAGGGAGGGAAGACAGGAGCGAGGGAGGAGGCCTTCGACCAACCTCGTGATAGAAGATTTGTTCTGAGGCGTCTCAAAACAAATCTTCAACAAGCCACCAACCTTGAGCAGCTGTCAGCGCTCCCCTCTTCCCCCCCTCTCTCAAACACCCCTTACATACCACTCTGGGTGCTTCACTAGCCACGTCCTTAAAGCCCTTGTTGTCAATCAACCCACTCAGTGGGGCGTCTGACACTGGGTCTTCAACTGTCACCAGCATCTTCCACCGCTCCTTGGCTGCCTGAGCCAGGTCGATCTTGGGGAGGGTGTTCTGGGGCAGCAGAAGGGGGGGAGTGGGAGATGGGAGATGGGTCAGAGGGGCGTCTGACACGCACGGGGTCTTCAACCGTCACCAGCATCTTCCACCGCTTCTTGGCTGCTTTAGTCAAGTCAATCTTGGGAAGGGTGTTCTGGTTGTATTTTGAGTCGACTCAAAATCTTGGGTAGGGTGTTCTGGTTGTATTTTGAGTCGACTCAAAATCTTGGGAAGGGTGTTCTGGTTGTAGTTTGAGTCGACTCAAAATCTTGGGAAGGGTGTTCTGGTTGTATTTTGAGTCGACTCAAAATCTTGGGAAGGGTGTTCTGGTTGTATTTTGAGTCGACTCAAAATCTTGGGAAGGGTGTTCTGGTTGTATTTTGAGTCGACTCAAAATCTTGGGAAGGGTGTTCTGGTTTTATTTTGAGTCGACTCAAAATCTTGGGAAGGGTGTTCTGGTTGTATTTTGAGTCGACTCAAAATCTTGGGAAGGGTGTTCTGGTTGTATTTTGAGTCGACTCAAAATCTTGGGAAGGGTGTTCTGAGGAAATCAAAGAAGAAGACGGTGAGAGGGGGCGTCTGTGGGGAGGGGGGCTTCTGTGAGAAGAGAGGGGGGCTGGGGATTCTCTTACTCGGGCTGGGGATTCTCTTACTCGGGCTGGGGATTCTCTTACTCGGGCTGGGATTCTCTTACTCCTCGTTACTCCTCGTTACTCCTGGTTACCACAATCTGCTTCACCAGCCCCGTGCGAGTGTCCGGAGGGGCGTGCCTTTGAGCTGCCCAAATCATGACTCTTCCCCAACTCACCGCTATTCTCTCGGGTATTTTCGAGCTCGGGAAATTCTTGCTCCTCGTTACCACAATACGCATCACCAACCCCGTGCGAGTGTCCGGAGGGGCGCCGTCAAGGAAGAGCGAGAGAGTGAGTCCATGTTTCCATATAGCAACCCATCCACTCTTCTTCTGGCCGCCCCAAGATTCTCAGGCTCACCGCTATTCTCTCTGGTATTCTGGGGCTTGGGATCCTTCTGCTCCTCGTTACAACAATCCGCATCACCAGCCCCCCGTGTAAGTTTTCGGCGGTGCGCTTTAAAGTATGTCGAATCACGCCCATTTCCCAGGACTCACCGCTATTCTCTCGGGTATTTTCGGGCTGGGGATCTTCTTACTCCTCGTTACCACAATCCGCATCACCAGCCCCGTGCTCCTGTCCGGACGCGCACCGTTCGGGAAAGGCGCGGGGGCCGAATTCGTTACAATCACATCGCGGCAGAGAGAGGGCAGCGAGGAGAAGTCAACGACAATGTCCTTCCGCTCCCCCGGGGCTAGCAGGAGAGAGCGGATGTAGGATGGGCGGACGAGGTAACCAGCATCACCGCCAATCTGGGAAAGGGTGTGCAGGAAGGGGGGAAGGGTGCAAGAGAGAGGGCAGAGAGGAGAAGTCAACGATAATGTCCTTTTTCTCCCCTGGGACCAGCAGGAGAGAGCGGATAAAGGATGGGTGGACGAGGGTCACTGCCTATCTATGAGAGTGTGGGAAAGGAGAGACGAGGGTGGAAAGGGCATGGGACGAGGGTGGAAAGGGCATGGGACGAGGGTGGAAGGAGTTTGAGACGAGGATTGCGGGACAATGAGGGCAGAGAGGAGAACGACGACACCCTTTATCACTGGTAGATAAATGAGTTTTAAACGAGAGAAAGGAGATAAAATGAGATAAAGGCTAGGTCGAAACAGCTCATGCAAGGCAAAGGATACCTATGTAGGCACCAGGCCATACGCACCTGAGCGAATTCAACCCTGTGGCCCTTCAGTGGAGGGTGGAAGTTGGGGTAGTCAGCCCGATCGGCACAGACAAGGGAGAGGTGAGAATGCATGTGACACATGCACGTGACACCTGCACTCCATACCCATACGAGCCCTATGCTGTTTACCTGGGCGAATTTGACCCTCTGGCCCTTCAGGGGAGGGTGGAAGTTGGGGTAGTCGGCCTGATCGGCACAGATAAATGAGAGGTTGAAGAAGCGGGCATTGGCAGCTGATAGCAGACGGAATCTGTGCAGCGCTGGGCGCACCTTTAGGTAGGGCCACACCTGGTGGTGTGAGATGTGTGTGTGGCATGGCATGGGGAGACGGGAAGGGAAGCAGGAACATGCAGAGCGCAAATACAGGGAAGGTTGAAGATGCGGGTGCTGTCAGCTGGTAGCAGACGGAATCTGTGCGGGGCAGGACGCACCTTGCTGCACGGCCACTCCTGGGATGGAAGGACGGGTCGAGAATGAGCAAAGATTGCAATTCTCGCCCGTTATAAGCTCGCCCGTTGTAAGCACACCAGCCCATGGACCACAGTAGTGGGCTTGCCATGCTATGGCACGGCACCACCCAGTTAGGGACGTACCTCGGGCACCACCCCTCGTTAGCGTAGTACAGCGAACCATTAGCCCGGAACATGCGATCCGCTAAGAACAACGGCATGCTGTAGCTCCCCTTGGGAATCCATTCATACCCGCTACAAAAACACCCGTTATAAGATCGCTAAGCCATTGACGACTATAGTGTTGCCGTAGATTCCATCGAACCAGTAGGGATGCACCTCAGACACCACCCTATTCTCGGGTAGTACAGAGACCAATTCTCTAAATCATCCCCCATACAAACACACTCGTTAGAACTACACTTATTAGAAGCTTACCAAGCCATTAACAACTATAGTGTTGCCGTAGAACCCATTAACCCAGTTGGGGTGCACATCAGGCACCACCCCTCTCCTCGGGTAGTACAGCGACCCATTAGCTCGGAACGTGCGATCCGCAATGACCAGAGCCATGCTGTAATCCCCCTTGGGAATCCAGCTTCCCACTCCCGGCCCCCACACCATCCCAGCCCCTCTCCCCTCCCCCTCCTTTCCTCCTCCCACTCCTCCTCCTCCGCCTCCTCCTCCTCCTCCCCCCCCTTTCATACTCCTCCACTTCCCCTCCTCCCCGCCCGGATCCGTTACAACATACAGGCCTGCCAACCCCGCTAAAAGGTTCAGCCTCCCCATGCCCTGCGTGCGATCCCGGTACCACAGCAGCGCAGCAGAGTGCTGGTTCAGGTACTTGTATGTCTGAGAGTAGTAGGAATGCTCCTGAGGAGCTTCCGAGGAGGAAGGAGAGGAAGGAGAGGAGAGGGACGAGCGGGAAGAGCGGGAGGAGCGGGAGGAGGAGCGGGGAGAGAAGGCGGGACCAAGCTCGCCGTACTGTGTGAACCACGCCTGGGGGTGGCCGGAGTACGCACTGCGCACCTGGCCTCCGTGCCTGAACGGAACTGTATGGAGGGGGAAAGGATTGGGAGAGTCTATTTTTGAGGCGCCTCAAAAATAGGCTCCTCACGCACTGCGCACCTGGCCTCCGTGCCTGAGCGGCAGTGTGAACGGATTGGGAGAGAAAGGGTGAGAAGGGAGGAGTGTGAGGGTAAAGAAAGGGGGGGGGGGGGCAGCCAGGAGAGACAGACGCGGGGAGGGGCGATGCGTACAAGTGTAAGAGAGCAAGGGGGTTAAAGCTCAGGTGATGCACGAGCTTCAACGTTCGTAGTTGCACTCTGGCTTTAATGAAGGACATTTTTTGAGGCGCCTCCAAAATAGACTCCCGGATGCAAGAGCTTCAACGTTCGTAGTTGCACTCTGGCTTTAATGAAGTACAATCATCCAAACGAAGCACTCACCTATGGGGATGCCGCCGCGGGACGGTCTAGGGACGTCTTTATTAATCGTGTAGTCGACTTGCAACATGTGCTTCGCGTCCGTTAGGTGATTCTCCCACCGAATCTGCCACACCAATTTCAACAGGAATCACCTGCATGAATGGGATGAAATGTGTACCCTATTGTTTCTCACTTTCCTAGTCTTGAGGCGGCTCAAAACCATTACTCTGCATTCGTCTTACCCCTCGTCTCCTCTCACCTTAGTCATCACGCCTTTCCTCGCCAATATAGTAGGCCCCGGGTAAGACGCGCGCGCGCGGCTCGTCCCAAACGCGTACAGCTTCGTGGGCGGCAGATCTCGGTGGAACTTCTGCCGGATCTGATACGCTCCGATCCGCAGAATCTTCCCGCTCGTGCCGTCCACCAGCTCCATCCAGCCGCCCGTGCGGGCCGCCCCAGCCTTGCCGCCCGTGCCACCTGGTTCGACCTTGGAGGCCGTCCCAACATTGCCGGCCCCGCGAAGGCTGTCGACGAACTTGCAGAGCGGTCGCGACGGAAAGCGGTTGACGCATCGCGGCCCCGCTGTGGGGGTGCCCCCGGTTACCGGGTTACCAGACTTCGACGAACCGGGTTTCGAGGAGCCGGTTTTGGACGAACCAGACTTAGGAGAGCCGGACTTGGGCGGGTTGGATTGGAGGTCTGGGTTGCCGTAGTAGATAGGCCCGGACTTGGAAGGGCCGGTCTTCTTAGGTAATAGCGGGGAAATCGAGGCTGATTGAAAAGGGGCAACGGTTAAGGAGGGAGAAGGGGGGGGAGGGGGGGGGAGAGAGGGGAGGGGAGGAGGGAATTGGATTGGAGGTCTGGGTTGCTGTAGGAGATAGGACCGGACTTGGCAGGGTCCGTCTACTTAGATAGGAGTGGGGTGGTGAATGCTGCAGGAAAGGGACGGTGGGCCGAAAACACTAGGCGAGATGAGAGGAAGGAGGCGTGGAGGGGCGGATGGGATTGGAGGTCTGGGGAGCCGGACTTGGAAACGCGCGTCTTATTAATGGTAAGCTTTACGAGGAATATCAAAGAGTTACGAAACCGCTACGCGTCAGCCTACCTACCTGCTCCGACGTCCCCCTGTGCTCGTGCGGTGGTGCAAAGGAGCAGCCACGTGCAAAGCGCGACGAAAACCGTTGGCGTATCTGTCTTCATCTACTCGAAATGCTATGCCAGATGAAGAAATGATCTCTTGAGGCGCGTCTAATTTTCACTTAGTAACGTAACCGCAGGTCAGATACCTATGTACAAGGATATTATCTGCTCAAAACAGGACGTCTGGAAATTGATTGCAGGAAGCGCGGCGAGTATCGGGATTGTGGCATGTGACCAGGTGAGAGCAAGCTACTATATAGTACGGAACCTTCTTTCCGTTCCTTCAGAAATGCTTGCTCCTAGTAGCAGCCTAGCCTAGTATTCCGTACTCGCGTTGGTAACTGAGGGATACACTCGAGATGGTAACCAACTCGTCTAGAAGCTGCTTATGAGTCGACCCCGATGGAAACACACCGACTGAGAACCAAATCGTCTAAAAGCTGCTTAGAAGGGAGCTCTCGCAATCGAAATGGCTCTGCGGTGGCCGTCGGAATAATCGACTGTGGTCGATTACCATCAATGCGAACGCGCCAAGCAACTGCTGTCCATTGACCTCGATGGCGACCACTGGAAAGCCCAAACGCACGTGTTGGTGAAGATGCTGCGTGTGGTAAATAGAAGGATGGGCACGCACCGTGAGTTTCGCCGTGAATTGAGGGGCCACGTAAGGCGCGAGTTGGGAGGAAAACGCCCTTTTTAAGTGGCCAGCTGTTAACGGCCCTCCACTAGCGAGAGTTGACTGATGGGTGGTGGGCTTGGCTGGTGGTAGCAGATAGCAGAATGGTGTGTGGAGTGGAGTGGACGTGTGGGAGAATCTCAAGGAGACGGGGGAAATTTGAAATGTGATGGATTGAGAAATTGAGCAAAATTCCCTCCAGATTTGACATTTGAACGGAATGCGGTCCGTTGACGCGATTCGTGCGGGTCCCTTGATGCATGAACGAAATACGCGAACATCGTTGAAAGATTCTGTCAGCCGCTATTCAACACACAGCCAGGCAGTATGTTATGATTTAGAAGATGTCAATGTACTATAACGTGAGAATACAAGGTCGCTATTGCAATGAAGGCACAAGGTTATATAGGGGTTGGCGTACTAGGGCGATAACCTCGGAACGTGGGTAGGTTCGGCAATGTGGCGAGAGAGTCGGACGCGACTCGGGAAAGGTTTGGGCCGAAAATGAAGGCCGAACGTGACGAGTCAAGATGTTCGGGTGTACGCGGTAGCGGTCGACGCAGTAAGGAATGATAATTCGTTACACAGTAGACACCCGTAACACATAGCCTCGTAACAAATACGGCAATTTTATCTCAACAATTTTTACTACGATATTTGCATCATATTTCCCTACATAAAGCTTTAACTACCTATATATGTACAACAGCCTTAGCTGAGCTACAAGAAAAGAAACTCCTAGAATGATGCGTGTGTTTATGCTTTGAAATCCTGGCACTGCACCCGACCTGGTCGATGCTAGCAACTTTTACTGTGTGCCTCCTTGCGCTTGAAGCACAGCCTCACGAAGCACCGCAATGGCAGCAGCAGGGTCAGAAGAACCAAAAACAGAGCTTCCCGCAACGACGCAGTTGGCACCAGCTGCTGCGGCTTGGGCGATTGTGGACGGACCCAACCCCCCATCCACCTGCAAAGATAGAGCCCAAATTGCAACCAAAAAAGGTGCTATTGTGCTTAACAATCCCACATACACTCACAGAGTTCAGCGACAGATTTAAAGATCGGATTACACATGCACAATGCACTCATGCAGGTGAGTGCATGCCCACACGAAAATCCCTTACCTGAATATCTAGCTCAGGGAACCGCGAGCGCAGAAATTGAACCTTGGGCATCATTTCCGGCATGAACGCCTGTCCTCCAAACCCCGGCTCCACTGTCATCACGAGCACCAGGTCCACCGCTTCCTGCCCCTCCAACTGCCATGAGGGGTGATGGCAGGGCAATACGGAAAGGGAATGACAGGGAATGACAGGGAATGACAGGGAATGTGGAGATGGGAAGTGAGTGCATCATGTCAGGCATGAGCGCCTGCCCTCCAAACCCCGGCTCCACTGTCATCACGAGCACCAGGCCCACTGCATCCTGCCCCTCCAGCTGCCATGTTGAATGATGAGGGGTGATGACAGAGTGGTAGCGAAAGGGAGTGATAGGGGATCGGGAGATCAGCTATAAAGGCATCCTTTCAGTTGTGAACGACTGCTCTCCAAACCCCGGCTCCACTGTCATCACGAGCAACAGGTCCACTGCTTCCTGCCCCTCCAGCTGCAAAAAAGGTGTGATGGTAGAATGGTAGCGGATGGGGTGACGATAGAATGCTCAGAGCGAGAGAGAGAGGAGGGGATGGAGAGACGGGAGATGAGGGCATCATGTCAGGCATGAGGGTCTGGCCTCCCAACCCCGGCTCCACTGTCATCACCAGCACCAGATCCACTGCCTCCTGGCCCTCCAGCTGCCACGAGGGGTGGATGGATGATGAGGTGAGATGCCAGAGTGATAGGGGGATGGGAGATCCACTGCCTCCTGGCCCTCCAGCTGCCACGAGGGGTGGATGGATGATGAGGTGAGATGCCAGAGTGATAGGGGGATGGGAGATCCACTGCCTCCTGGCCCTCCAGCTGCCACGAGGGGTGGATGGATGATGAGGTGAGATGCCAGAGTGATAGGGGGATGGGAGATCCACTGCCTCCTGGCCCTCCAGCTGCCACGAGGGGTGGATGGATGATGAGGTGAGATGCCAGAGTGATAGGGGGATAGGAGTGACGACTGAGGAGTGGGGACGGGGGAGTGAAGCCTAACAGGGCTACCAGTCGAGTGATGGGGAACGCACCAGGGGTAGCACAGACTCGATAGGCGTGGACGGCTTGATGGCTGCTCCCGCCCTCATGCCCGCTGCATGCACCTCCTTTATTAGCTGCTGTGCTTTGTCTGCTGTGTGAGGGGAGGGAAGATGGGGAGAAGAGGGGGTGTGAGAGGAGGAGGAGAGGAGAGGGGACGAAGAGACGCCCCCCTGTGCGCACTGCATGCACCTCAATAATTAGGTAGTTTGCTTTAGTAGTCTAGGCGCCTCATAATTACTTGGTTTGCTTGAGCAATCTAGGAGCCTCATAATAAGTTGGTTTGCTTTAGTAGTCTAGGAGCCTCATAATTAGTTGGTTTGCTTTAGTAGTCTAGGCGCCTCATAATTAGTTGGTTTGCTTTAGTAGTCTAGGAGCCCCATAATTAGTTGGTTTGCTTTAGCAGTCTAGGCGCCTCATAATTAGTTGGTTTGCTTTATCTGGTCTGGGTGTCAGGGGAGGGGAGAGGGGTAGGAGAGGGATGTGGGGAAGTCACCAAAAAACCGTGACAACTTGATGAGGGTTTTTCAGGTTATTTTGCAAACAGCGAGGGTTTTTCAGGTTGTCTTATCATGTCCACAAGCCTATGCCCTGGAATGGCCTAAATTACAGCCTGACACCTGGCATGCTGACCTGGCACAGCCTCCACGTGGAAGGTGAAGGAGGAGGCTCCAGCCTTGCTCATTGGCTCAACGTAGGCGAATGGGTCTGTGACCATGAGGTGGCAGTCCAGATATGCACTGTATGCCAGGGAAGGGGGGGGATATTGGGGAGGGGGGGAGGAGGGAAGGGGGGGGGGTGGAGAGCGGGGGGGAGAGTGAGGGAAGGTGGGTGGAAGAAGAGAAGAGAGTGAAGAGGAGCGGTTGCCGAAGGAAGTGACTGGATCCTTCCTTGATGATCGAATTCTTCATAAGGCGAACAAGGAAGCCAGTTTTGAGGCGCCTCACAACCAAAGGGAGTGTTCAAATCCATTATCATAGTTTGCTTCAACAGGTGTGAGCCAAGAAAAGAGGGATCCGTTACCTTAAGATGGTAGAAAGTAAAAAGGGGGGAAGAGGGGGGCTGACTGAAATGAGAAGGAGCAGGACTTACTCGGTGTGTTTGCGTCGTGGGGCGATGACTGGAGTGCCAGCCAGCGGTGATGAGGGGGCAGAACGAGGGGGCCAGGCGTGGGTACGAGTGGGTTTTTGAGGCGCCTCAAAAATTTTGAGGCGCCTCAAAAAAAGTGATGCGGGGGCAGAACGAGGGGGCCAGGCGTGGGTACGAGTGGGTTTTTGAGGCGCCTCAAAAATTTTGAGGCGCCTCAAAAAAAGTGATGCGGGGGCAGAACGAGGGGGCCAGGCGTGGGTACGAGTGGGGAGGCCGAGGGGTTCCTTGCAATGAGAAGGATGAAGGCTTACTCGGTGTGCTTTCGTAGGGCGGCGATTACTGGAGGGCCGATGGTGAGGTTAGGCACGAAGTTGCTGGAAAGCGGGGAGTGCGGAGGGGAGAGAGAGGGTAAGGGGGTGATCAAGGGCCGAAAGGGGGGAGAGCGTAGAAAGAAGAGAGGCTAGAAAAAAGAGAGGGTAGAGAGAAGTGATTCTCTTGATGGTGGGACGAGAGTGGAAGGATGATGTGGCGTGGTGGCACAGAGTAAGAGCAAGGGGAATCATGGGGTGGGGACAACAGGGACGGCGGGGACGAGGGCGGAGGGCGGGCGGGGAGAAAGGGTAGGCGGAGGGGGGAATGGGGAGGCGGAGGGGAGAATGGGGAGGCGGAGGGGAGAATGGGGAGGCGGAGGGGAGAATGGGGAGGCGGAGGGGAGAATGGGGAGGCGGAACGGGGGGACAGGAGGAGAGAGAAAGGTAGGGAGAGGAAGAGAGAACAAAAACCTGGGGATTGCATGCTTTAAGAATGGCATGTGCTTGTAGCAGCATGTGCTTGTGGTGGAATGTGTGCTTGTGGTGGCATGTGTGCTTGTAGTGGCATGTGCCGGTAGTCAGTGAAGCCAGTAGTACAGTGTGTAACCCTACCCGTCCTGCAAAGAATGCACATGCATGTAATGGCAGAAACATGCATGCACATACATGCACACACATGCACACAGATGCACATACATGCACACACATGCACACAGATGCACATACATGCACACACATGCACACAGATGCACATGCATGCACACACATGCACACAGATGCACATGCATGCACACATCCATGCAGGCACACAACGAGGACAGCTGAGAAAAGCGCGAGGTAGGGAGAGGGAGTGAGAGGGGCGGAGGGCAAAAGAGAGGGGTGGAGGACAAAAGAGAGGGGTGGAGGACAAAAGAGAGGGGTGGAGGAACAGAGCGAGACAGTTTTCCTTTGGGCTGACTCAAGAGCGACGCTACTAAAATGTGACACAACTGAAGACGACACTACTAATACGCTGTAGAGAATAAAGACAGGTATAGGGTTACCATGACATCCATGTGTAACCAGTCAGCGCCACAAGAGAGAATTCGCTGCGCCTCGCTCGCGAGATTCGCGAAATCCGACGAAAGCATGGACGGCGCGATCTTCGGCGCGGGCGCCATTTCGCGAGGCTTTGTCTCAAGAAATTATAATTCTCCGGGCGCGTTAGTAACAAAACGTCCCTGTCTTGCACACTAGCAAGAGTCTGCGCTTTGGAACCAAGCTTCCCCGAAAGTTACTCTTGCAATATGTCGGATTCCGTGACGGGCGGCGACTAATGAACAGCTGACGTGCGCTAGCAAATCGGATTGTTGTAACAAGAGCTACCTTCAGTCCGGTTCAATGAGGTGCTTGCGGGTCCCTCAACCTACAGGACGGTTGAATTTGAATGATTTGTTTCTTGAGAAAAAAAAAAGGGAAAATTGCTGTGGCGGACTGTCCACGAAACTTTTCATACTTTCACGGACAGGCCCTACTTTCATGGACACCACATCGAACTTTCGCTTCTCCCGTGGACTCCGTCAATACTTTCGTGGACTCCAGGCTTACTTCCATGGACACACGCGAATTTGAAAAAAAAAATAAAAAAAAAATAGAACTGTACAGATGCTGATGGGAGGAAAAAAACAAAATTATGGCGTAATCAAGTCCCTCGCGAATAGTCGCAAGCTAAAGTAACTGCAAGACACCAAGTCCGCTAGCTGTTTCGCGTATTTAAAGAAGCTCTGAAGCGATCCTAAAAATTCATTTGAACGACTGTGAAGAAGCGGTTTTTTGTTAAACGCTAAGTGCAGACGATCGAGTAGGCGAAATCTCGGTACAAAATATTCCCATTGTAGAATAAAGATAGATATTATGGTTACAAGGTTAATAGAGCTCATTAAAAATCATATTAGTCCCAAGATAACAGTTTGGAATTTCCAACCACCAAGAATCGGCAATACAATTAGTTCTGGCATTTCCAAATATTTCAAATAATATTTGACTTGCATTTTTTATGAAGATATAAAATCTATTAATACTAATAATGTTTGGTAAAAATGGCTGTATAAATGGAAGATTTTATGTCTCGGATTTTATTCTATATTAAAATAAAAATAGATGAGAAAATAACACAAGTGATTTGGATTCACAATTTTGCAAATTTTTTTTTTATTTGAACAAAAAACATACTAATGCAAATAAAAAAAATAATTATGAAAAATATCTTTCTCAGTTGCTAATTTTTTGTTCATATAATTCCTAATAATAAAATAATGTATTATGAAGGAGACAACAATTGCTGATTGATGCTGGCTCGATGTATTGATGTATTAGCGTCTGCTTGATAAAAAAACTTTTTATTCAACTCAGAGAAACTCCAAAAAATCATAATAAAAACATTTTTTATGATTTTCTGAGTAGCTTTGATTTGAATAAAAAGTGTTTTTATCACGCGGACGCTAACACACTAAGTTTTTGAAACTTCACTGCATATTTGAGTGCGGCTGCAAACTCTTCCAAAAAAAGCTCTGAGATTCAGTTTCAGAACTGGTCTCCGACACTGTAGTTCGCGATTACTCGCGACGAAGAGATAGTCTGGAGTATTTCGATTTTTGTGCCCGTAATCACTTGTACATCGCTGTATGCTCATTTTTTATTGCGAATATGCGTGCGTCCATAGAAGTAAGCCGGGAAAACACGAAAGTATTGATGGAGTCCACGGGAGAAGCAAACCTTCGATGTGGTGTCCATAAACGTAGGGCCTGTCCACGAAAGTATGAAAAGTTTCGTGGACAGTCCGCGGGAGCAAGTTTCCCGAAAAAAATCAGACGGTTGGGAAGCCAAACCTCGGGAGGGATGTGCTCAGGAAACTTGCTGCCGCGGACTGTCCACGAAATATTTCATACTTTTGTGGACAGGCCCTACTTTCATGGACTGCACATCAAACTTTTGCTTCTCCCGAAGACTCAGTCCATACTTTCGTGGACAGCGGGCATACTTCCATGGACACAAGTGAAATTGCAATAAAAAAACGTAATGAGCGGAAAAATAAAATGGAAACAGAAACAGAGTGCGTCCCAAACCGTCGTGAGCTACAGGGTCTCTATACCAAATCCGACGCAGAATGCCGCAATCATGGAAGCGGTAGTTACGATTTCTCAAACATAAAGGCGAGTACACTACTGCACTTGAGAAATACAGTCACGCATCTACGCTTCAAGGCGAAAAATGGGTGTTTGACCATTACTCATTCCATAAGAGACTCCATCATTCGCACACTGTTTAGACTTCGTAGTTCATGTATTTCCATTCCTTTTAAATAATTTTATAAATACTAAATGTGTTTCTGATAGTGTTCTATTCTTGTTTAAAAAATATTCTCATTAAAATTCATACATTAATACCATTATTCAGGCATATGGCATACAATGTATTTTTAGAGAAAACACAATATTGAATTGTATATGTGTTGGTTGTAATAAATATTGATTGAAGGGATAATTATTCGCATTACACAAAACATGTTTGAAATTGCATATACAGATATTGTTTTCAATGGATTTCATTACGATTAATTCGAACGTCGAAAGCAATGTATAATTTCTTTATGTTAATAGATTGGATTTCGTATGAGGTGTCGCTATCTGGTTTAATGACTAGATTTAGCCTACTGCTGCTGATATACTCTGGTGTCGACTGTAGCCCGTATGTTACAATCTCTGAAATGGATTTTGACCGTCACTACAAGATATCCTAATTTTTCGCGAAACAGCTTTCTGACCTGGCTGGTTGCGGACACTGTAGCTTGCGACCCTTTGCGACGGTCCTGATTTTGGCAGTTTTGTTTTTCCGTCCGTCACAACGTGTACATTCTAATTACGTTCTTAACTGCAATTTCGTGTGTGTCCATGGAAGTATGCCCGCTGTCCACGAAAGTATGGACCGAGTCCACGGGAGAAGCAAAAGTTTGATGTGGAGTCCATGAAAGTAGGGCCAGTCCACGAAAGTATGAAATATTTCGTGAACTGTCCGCGGCAGTAATTTTCCCGATGTGCTCGTTCCATCCCAAACTAAGCGGACAATCCTATTTAGAACGCATGGACTTTGATGTTGTAGAGAACGCATCAGTAGACAAAATTCCATTACACTCACTCGTCCACCTATGGAAAGTTTATCAGAATAATTGAATGAATTGAGAGAGAGAGAGTACACAAACATATATCTAATGTTGTACTCTCTAGAAGGTGACCCTATACAGTCTATACAAACATGATAACTACACATGTTTGACACACCCCCTGGACTGCATAGGGGAATGTTCTAGACAAGCAGCTCAGGGTGGCACTACTAGTCCAGCCTCTGAGACAAGGGTCTAAAAGACCAGTCAGAAGGAGTACAGACAAGGCAAGAACGAGTACAGGGCGGCACTACTAGTCCAACCACTGTGAGAGGACACAAGTCCAGTCTGAGTGTATACATATATCTATACGACAGTACAAAGTCAAGGCCCGAGTAAGTGAGAGACTACAGGAACCAGACCAAGCTGTAAACAGTGCCGCTGATGATCTTTAGGCGCAAGCGCCTTCGTAAAGATATCAGCTGTGTTGGCACCGGAGGCCAAGTGTACTACGCGAGCCTGGCGACGCTGCTGTAGCTCGCGCAGGAGGAAGTACCGCAGCTGGATGTGCTTCGCTCTGCCCTCGAGTCGAGGCTCCTGACACAGGAGAATCATGGCCCTGTTGTCAGCGTACAGGACCGGGGCAGAGCTAGGCCGCTCACCTAAGTCAGTGAGCAAGAAGGTCAGCCAGCGGAGCTCCTGTGCCGCCATGGCACCGGCGTAGATCTCAGCCTCACAGCTGGACTGGGCAACAGACGAGGAGCGGGTAGCTCTCCACGAGACAGCACCTGAGCCAAGGCTAAAGCAGTAGCCCTGGGAAGACCTGAGCGTCTCGGCGTCGTCTGCCCAAGAAGCGTCTGTGTGTCCAGTAAGGACTACTGGCCTGCGTCCGCCTAGCACTAACCCCATGCCCGATGTACTTGCAAGATAACGCAAAACCCTCTTAGCGGCAGACCAGTGCTGAGGTCGGTGTCTGCCTGTGGCTACAAAACGAGCCAGGATGCTGAGAGGGTATGCGAGATCTGGGCGAGTGCAAGTCATCAGGTACATGAGGCAACCCACTAGCTCAGCGTAAGGACCACTGGGATCTACCGACTCCTCAAGAACTGGAGCGGAGAGTCTGTGGTCCAGAGGAAGAGGGGTGGGCTGTGCGGAGGAGAACTGAAGGCCGAACCTCTGAAGGACCTGGCGCACCAAGTGTGACTGAGTCAGGGTGATGGTGCGCGCGGCTCTGTCCCTGGAGATCTGCAAGCCAAGGTAACGGCGCAGCTCTCCAAGGTCAGTGCAGGTGTGTCTCTTCAGCAGCTCTGCCTTCACGGAGGCCAGTGCGTCCCTGTCAGCTGTGGCAAAGACCAGGTCGTCTACGTAGACGAGGATGTAGAACGGAGTCGAGCCAGCACGAACGAAGAGCGAGGGGTCTGCAGAGGACGGAAAGAACTGCAGGTCAGCAAGAGTAGCACGCAGCGTGTCGTGCCACTCACGAGGCGCCTGGCGCAGGCCGTAGACTGGGCGCCGCAGAAGCCACTGGGTCCCAGGGGGGAAGGTGCCAGTAAAGCCCTGAGGACGACGCAGGTAGACCTGCTTGTGAAGGCTGCCCTGAAGAAAGGCAGTGGAGAAGTCGAGGGAGTGAAGCTCGTAGTCACGCTGAGCCGCTACGTGTAGCAGAACCCGAAGAGTAGTCATCTTCGGGGTAGGAGCGAAAGTCTGAAAGAAGTCCACCCCCTCGCGCTGACTGAAGCCTCTAGCCACGTAACGCGCCTTGAACACAGGCGGCTCTCCAGGAGGGCGCTTCACCTTGAAGAGCCAACGGCCATCGACCACGTTCACCCCAGGTGGGGGAACTGCGTCGACGAAGGTGCCGGTGGATCTCCAAGATGCCATCTCCTGCTCCATGGCAGCTATCCACTGAGAGGCCCAAGGTCCCGAAACCGCCTCAGCGTAAGTACGAGGGGTCGGGATGTCAAAAGCGTCTGGGTCACCCTCAGGGACTAGCAGCATGGAACAGAGATGGGGAGCAGCCTCGGACAGGAAAGCAAGCTCAAACTGGCGGTCCTCCAGGACGTCACTGCCGAGGGCAGGAGCACCCCCGACAGACGGAGGACAGGCAGGGTCAGAGACCAGAGCGGAGGCGTAGTCAAGGCGGCGGGTAGAGGCGAAGTCAGCGACCGCAGCGACAAGGGCGTCAAGACTCGACAC